CATAAGCGGTTGAACAAAATGCTATCAATTCGGACCAAAATGCCGTATATTTTACGGTAGATTTATACTTCTTTCTATGGTTGTATTTTATTTAACGGTTTCAAGATGATTTTTCTCCAAATTCTAAGACCAACGCTGTGTCTTCAATGCGGCAAAAACATGGAAGAGTCGGAAGATGCAGATGAGCGACGGCGATTCTTTCCTGCACATAAAAAGACGAATGTTTGCGAAAACATTGAACTATTTAATGCAGTAATAACAATTATTAGGCATAGTACAAAACATGGACTGGACTGGACAGTTGGACTGGACAGTTGGACTGGACTGATTTTTACATTTTCTCTATTCTTGACTTGCACGTCACCCGCTATGTCAGGTGGCATGGCACAAAAGAATATTTTATCATATAATAGATATACCATGTCATGTCTATTTTGTGTTTTTATCAATGAACATTGTCTGCATGGTGTGCACCAGGATGAGATTGGTTTGAAGTCAAGAATATAACGTTTTGCACCTGAATTACTTTTGATTTTCGGAAATTGAAATACTTTACCTTCGCCGATGACCTCACGTTATAACTGGAGTGAAATCTCAGTAAGAAACCCCAGTAAGTAGAATAGAATACAATACCAAACATAAACTACTTATCTGTCTTTGCTATGGGTTGCCTGCTCGCATACGTATTAAATTTCGATATTTCAGCCTGCATGGCCATGGGCGTAGGAAGATCGATATTTTTTTTTTTGGGGGGGGGCTCATATTCATATATTCGTGTTCTGCATCATTTACTTCTTTTGAAATTGATTGCTTTATGAATATATGAATATGAGCCTCCCAAAAATACCGATCTACCTACGCCCATGGCAACCCATAGCAAAGACAGATAAGTAGTTTATGTTTGGTATTGTATTCTATTCTATTCTACTTACTGGGGTTTCTTACTGAGATTTCACTCCAGTTATAAAGTGAGGTCACCGGCGATGGTAAAATATTTCAATTTCCGAAAATCAAAAGTAATTCAGGTGCAAAACGTTATATTCTTGACTTGCAACTAATCTCCTCCTGGTACACACCAGACAATGTTCATAAAAAAAATCACAAAATAGGCATGACATGGTATATCTATTCTGTGACAAAATATTCTTTTGTGCCATGCCACCTGACATAGTGGGTGACGTGCAAGTCAAGAATAGAGAAAATGTAAAAATCAGTCCAGTCCAACTGTCTGGTCCAACTGTCCAGTCCAGTCCATGTTTTGTACTATGCCGAAAGGATGTGTGACTGCAGTTGTCAGAGACACTGTGATTGTCATGGGTGGCGTAGATGAAAGACGAAAGTACTTAAAGTCTGTAGAATGTTTTCGATTTGATCACTATAGCTGGCAAGAACTTCCTGAAATGCGGGAAGCGTGATGGTTAGCTACTGCAGTTGTATGTTAATTATGTATTGTATATATTAGCAACCTAATTAAGTTGTTGCAGTATTATACACTTTTGTACTTGGGATACCAATTTGACTAAGTTTAAAGAAAAATTAATTTGTTGAAATCGTTGAATTTATGATTGAATAAAGTAGGGTGCATTAGAGCACATTGCGGCTTAATGGGTTAATATTAAACCACTGAGTTGCAATGCGCCCAAATACACCCTGTTTTATTATTTTACTCTAACACTAGATGACTTTACTTGCCAAGGGGAGAGTCTTGCGAATTTATGGTTTAAAGACATAAGTAAACTGGTCGGGCCTATTAATGCCCAATAACTCAACAATATTTTCCCCTTGAAAATTAAACTTGTCTGGCGTTAGACAGAATATAGAACAAAGTAGAAACATTGGGGCGCATTGCAGCTTACATGTAGTGGGCTGTTTAACCAAATGGGCCCTTTGCAGTTTTACTCGCCAAGGGGATTATGGGAACGTCTTTTAATGGGTTAAGTCCATTTTCCACTAGGGCGAAATAATTCGCATGAAACGACAAGAAAAAAGTAGGGACTGATCCAACTTTTTCGCGGCAAATTTTGTTGCTGACCAATAACATTGGCGAAATATTTTTCGCTTCGCGCGAACAAATTCGCTTAGTGGAAAACGGGCTTGAACACATATTACCATGCTGAAATTAATTGCGCCTCCAGAAAATTGTTGTTAATTCCAACGATGATTGAAGAGTTGAATACTTTGATCTGCATATTTTAAATCTTGCAGTCTCAGCTGACTCAGACATGTTATCATTCAACTGCAATTTTACCTCGACGTTTACGAACCCGTCATTTTGATGCAAAGTTGACACAATGAACTGCAAGGAGACTTTATGATGTAGCACGACAAGGCGATGGTCAAAACATCACAAACTCATTCAAATAAATGATTTTAAAGAAAACTTGTCGTATTTTATCAATCTTATGGATACGCTTTGTTTTGATGCAAAGTTGACACAATGAACTGCAAGGAGACTTTATGATGTAGGACGACAAGGCGACGGCCAAAACATCAAAAACTCATTCAAATAAATGATTTTAAAGAAAACTTGTCGTATTTTATCAATCTTATGTATACGCTTCATTTGCATGCGAAGTGAAATACAAAACTAACTTATCAGCAACAATCACAAATGTTGCAGTTTCCGCTGTTAAAGTGGCACTGACCCTAAATATGATTTTGATTTGGGTAATATTTGAATCATTCTGAGAAGAAATGGAATATATCTTTACAGTAAAAAACCTAATTTTGATTGCCTTTTTCACTGCCAAAGTTAGTGCCGGATATGACATTATTAGATTAATTACTTATTGCTTTGCCTTTGTTTTTCCCTGCTAAAATAGATCAAATGACATTTTATTCGACAACTTTGACAGTGAAAAAGTTGATCAAGATGAGTTTTTACTATAAGATATATTAAATTTCTTCTAAGAATCACACAAATCTTACTCATACCAAAATTCAGATTTGGTTGTTCTCCATTCCATGATCCAAAGTTGTTTTTGCGCTGTCCACAGAATGCTATGAATTAAAAACAACAGATATTTTTATAGTGTATTCAAAACTTGGATATGAAAACATAACAATGTTCAAACCCTAATAAATTGCGCACCCAGGAAAGTATAATTTCCTCAGTTGTCTCAAGAATGAAAGAAATTGGATGGGAATTTAGGCGAATGTACATTTTGTTGCAAAGGCTTCGCTAATTAATATTAAGTTCTGGAAACAGTAGCTGTGTCGGTGAAAGTCTTAGTTCTATCTTTTTGTTCATGTTAATGAAAACTTCCCCACGGTGAAGATACAATGAAGGCAATCAATTTTTGGCACAATGAAGGAACAATTCAATGATGTATTGATGCCATCTTGTTGAATCACTCAGAACATGGGGGGACTATGCTCAAAAGTATTGTTGCAATATTAGTGAAGACATGCAGCTTTCAAGTTTAATAGGCGTTTTTTATACGAGCGTACAGAAGCACGGAAACGTTTAAATCCATTTGAAAGTTTCTCATGAGTAAGTAAATCGGAATAAAAGCACAGCATTTAAGTTTTGCATGTGTATGATTTAAAGCGTATTTGTTGAGATAGTCAGTACTTATATAAAATTTACAAAGATGTAAAAGATTTACGTATCTCAAACTCATTAATAATTCATGAGTAAATTAGCCAACCATATTGCTTTATTTTGCTCACATGTTAATACTCGATACCTGATGAAGTACATTGATCGAGTCTTGAACTGGATCAAAATTAATTCAGTCCTTGGACTGGATCCAAAATAATTAAATAGTGATTTATTCGCATGAGATGTCATTTCAAATCCTCCAATTCGGACTGGACCAGATTTCAATCAAATTGCGCGTACTTGAAATCCAGTCCAGTCCTCATATGTGGATTCGAAATATTACGTCAAAACGCTTAACTGTTAAGGTCCAGACACATGCACCGGACGCGATTCGACAACGCGACGCAATTTTTCGATTTTCACTGACCGATACATAACTTTGATCCTAGTTTAAATTTTCCAAATATTTAGAAGCGCTATAACATTTTGAGTTATTTAGTCTACATATCTTTCAAAATTTGCTCTCATGGGCTGTTTTATTCACTTTCAAAAACTAAAAAATCGCGTCTCGACCTTTATACGCAAAAATTGCAAAAATATTTGTACACAGTGCATGAAGAGGCCTAGATATAAAATGATGCCTCATTCTAGACGCTTTGAATGAGATTGAGGAGTTTCCAGATGACTATATGGTATGTTTCAACATCATGTTTAGTAATGTTCACTATTGGTGGAAAATGTTGAACCTCCATCAGGTTTGATTTCAGTATTCAGAATATTTGAATTTTGAAACAACAACAACAACTCTCAACCGTATGGGGTCCAGAATTTTAGTCACAAGATTTGTGCGGCAATATCACAATTTCAATGCAATTGAATATTCAGGAATTTATCGGCTGTATTCAACTCAAACTGAAACTATTATTAAATACAGACTTTTATCTCAAAGGATTTTGACTGCGCTCTCAAACTACTGTTCATTGTTTTGATCAAATCAAGCACAGTGTTTTAAACATTATAGCGATGTAAATAAACTACACGACAAAATGTAGTTCCTGAATGAAGTAAAGCCAAGGTAAGACGAAATGAAATATATTCAAGTGAGTTTACATAAGCATATCGAAACACAGCGCCGATTCAAAGTCGCCTGTAAACACAAGAAATTTTTGAAGAGACCAGAAAAGAAATAGTAAATAGATATTTGGAAGTTTCGCGAGAGTTAGATGCCATTTTCAGGGTATTTTAATTTTTAATCACGAAAGTAATTCAGATTAGACGTCTTTTAGATGCTAGTTGCTTTAAACTCGTATTTGTTGATGCAGAACGGCTATACACAGTGCTGTCTCGGTCAATTTTAAATAAATAGCGTTTCGTCTTCAGTTCAAAACGACATCTAACACCTTTTCTCTTATGTCTATTTCTCAAGATATTGATTCAACAGTGATCTAAACTGAAAATGGCATCATACGACACTGGTTGGGAAGATGAACTATTTCAACATCCCGTTAGCCAAACTTTCCATTGTGGTATATGTCTGAATGTTTTGAAGGATCCAGTTTCGTGTAGACATGATGAGCATTTGTTCTGTCGAGCTTGTATCACCATACATCTCATGAACTTTCAAACATGTCCATCGTGTATGGAACCACTCACTGTCGAATCACTGCGCCAAGCACCTCGGACCGTAACCAACTTACTTTCCGAATTAAAGATCCGCTGTCAATTCTTCGATCGTGGTTGCGGACAGTTTGTTGAATTAGGAGATCTCGAAAGGCATGTCACCGACTGTGGGTTTGCCCCAGCAGTCTGCTCTAACGAAGGATGCCAACTTGAGGTGAATAAACAAGATTTACTACACCTTGAAACAGCTGTGTGTGAACTACGCAGAGTCAAGTGCCACAATTGCAACGAAATCAGACAAGAGATGGATACAGTGAAAGTTAATTTGGCAGCAATGAATGAAAAGTTGAAAGGAGTTGGAGAACAGTCGGCCAGACACGATAAACAGATGGACAGAAAGCAGGAGGACGTCAAAACAGAAGTGGTCGCAAAAGTTGAACTGGTTCAAGAACAACTTCGAGGACAACTTAACAAGCAGGAAGAATGCAATCGTCAGCTTAAAGCGGACAATGTAGAAATGAAAAGAAGTTTAAATGAAATTACGAAATCACCGGGGAAAAAAGAGCAACCATACAGTCCTACTGGCGGAGTTCTTTTGTTTGTTGCTCTGTTCGACTACGACGCTCGGACTTCTCAGGACTTGACGTTTAGAAAAGGTGATTATCTTGAGGTTAAACAAGAAAACACGACCTACGATTGGTGCTACGCAAAATCTCGCTCGACAAAGCAAGAAGGCTATATACCAAGCAATTATGTTGCCGAAGTCAAAACCTTGGAAGCCGAAGAGTAAGTCAATGCTTTACATGATTGTTATATTTTTTTTAAATGGCAAAAATTTGGTCAGACTGGCTTGAAAATTCGCGCGATATCAACATTGAAGTGGCTTTAAAATTTTTCGTTCGGACTTCCTGTCAAAAGTTGCTAATATAGAAACCGAATTTAGCATGCATGCCTTTACCCGTGCTTCGCTTTCGGCTGAATTTAATACACATTATAGAATAAAATAATGTACAAATAATCCATTTCTCTCTAGGACAGTACCTACGATACCTTATAGGCAAATATATATTTCCGTTTGTAATGGAATCATGTCCAAAATATTGGTTTCACTTCTTAGAATTTCATAATCAAATTTGTCGCAGAATGTATCAATTATGTATCAAATTATACCATGGATTGCAACATAGCGATTCGAAGTTATTTGAACACTGTATTTAATAATTAATCTGTCTCTTAGTTTACTTGACACGCCCAGTTTCAGGAAATTGAGCCACGTTTACTCAAACTCTCTGAAGCGGTGACTATTTTGAATTTCGAGTTTAACTATTCCATTTAATTTTTTGCTTACCTGAGTCCTTTAGCGAGTTTGAGTTCGTGATGTTCTATTTGTTATCATGATTACTATTTTGGAGGTGGGTGCCCTGCATGGGAACTTTTATAAGAGTCCCGTTCGTACCTTACCTTTTTGGATCTACATTTGATATCTAGGTTATATTAACTTAATGTAATATTTGTTCTGTTATTTTCTTTTGTTCAGTGTTAAAAATTGTGAATATCGATGCAAATAAAATTTGTTAAAATTAAAAAAAAATTAAAAATTAAAATTAAAATATGTCATAGCTTGTATTGTATGCATTGTTGAATTGTCTTTTGAACATTTGTCACACAGGAAGTGGCTTTGACATACCAAAAAATCCTCATGTTCATTAAAGCTTATTCAATTATTTTAATTGTTTGATGGCGATCAAATTAATAGTTTAAGTTCGCTGCTTGCTGGTTGATTGTGCTCAAATATATGAGCCTATGAGAGGCGTAGTTAGTTACCATCTTTTTTTTTTCTTGAACAGAGGTCGAATTCCTACAACTTACTACAGTATACTGTCTGAAAATCACAGTGATTTCTTTATCTCGCCTAAAGTGAAAGAAAGCGTTGTGCATCGGTCCGCCGCGGTTTGACGCACAAGCTGCCATAATTTTCACTTGAGTCATCTGTGATGGTGAACATATTATAATGGCCAATTGAAAAACTTCATTGTGTAAATTAGGACAAAATTTTACCTAGAATTGCCTTCTTTTTTTAACTTGAATAATATATATTATTTTATTAACATATATTAATTGTATTATATCATTTAAATTCTAGCTGGTTCTATGGGAAAATTTCTCGTACAGAAGCGCGGAAATTCCTTCTGTCCCCCGCAAACAAACATGGTGCGTACTTGATCAGAGAAAGAGAGCATGCATTATTTAACAATTTTGCCCTGTCGGTTCGAGATGGAGATGTCGTTAAGCATTACAGAATAGATTGTCAAGCGCTCGATAACAAACAAGGTTTTTTCATCACAAAAAGAAGGGAGTTTACGACCCTCCAGGATTTGGTCGAGCACTATAAAAAAAAGGCGGATGGCCTTTGTGATAAATTAAGCGCCGCTTGTAGTTATGAGGTACAGCTTTCTACTTTTCTAATAGTACATTATTTCTTAATTTATTATATTCATTATTTCTTAATGCAGCTTTTCATTTTGTGAAACAAACTTGTTTAAACATCCTTTGTACTCGACTAGTGCGACAGTTTTCTGTCTTCTGAAAGTCTACTTTCACGTGTGCATACTTGAGCTCTCATGTGATTAGAATATATTACTTTTGCTGCCCAAGTGAAAAGTCTTGGGTGATAACTTCATAGCTCAGTTTGTAGAGCTTTGGACATTGCCATTGTAGGTTCAATTATATCATTCATGCAAAATTTTCAGATTACTATGGAGACACTTGGACAGCGTCATCTTGCCACTTTAAGTGGCAGTGTGTCCTGATGTGGCCTATGTTATTATTACACTCTGTCTAATGCCAGATTATTTTACTCTGTGTAACATCAGACGATTTTACTCATCAGGGGGAGAGTGCTGCCACTCAATGGGCTAATCAAACACCCACTATGAACATCCACTTTCCAAGGATCGTTCTTTAACTGAATATATAGTTAAAACATGGAATAATGTTGGAAAAATAGCCTCTCCTGAAAAATTCGCCAGTTTAACAATTTTTAAAAGCTTTCTGCATGTGCATTGGTCAACAGTACTTTTAATGTTGATATGGCATGCACTTGGTCGCTCACAAGAGACTGCCCCTGCCACACCGTTCTTAATACGCATGTTATGTAATATATATTTGTATATAGTAAATTAGGTTGATTTTTTCCTTTTTTTTTGGAGGGGGTGCGCCTAGCATGGGTCTCTTTGTACTGTTTGCGCTATACCCTTTGGACTTAAACTTGTAAATGTTTCTATATTTGTCCAATAAAGCTGATAAATAAATCATCTCTTCATCTGAATACATACCCAAAATCATTACATTCATGTTGTAATGTTTTAGTTGGAAAAACCACAAACAGTTGGGCTGTCCTACAACATGGCAGATAAATGGGAAATCGACAAGAGCGCAGTGAAATTCGTAAAAAAGCTTGGCGTAGGAAATTTTGGAGAGGTCTGGCAAGGAATCTGGAATGGCACGACGCCAGTTGCAATCAAAACCCTCAGAGAAGGAACCGTGCAACCTGAAGCGTTCTTAAAAGAAGCAGAAATTATGAAAAAACTGATACATCCAAAACTAGTGCAGTTGTACGCAGTATGTTCGCGTGAAGAGCCAATATATATTGTAACGGAACTTATGACGAAAGGTAGTTTGCTGGAATACTTACACGGAGAAGGTCGAAGTATTCTTGATATGCCAAAGATGATCGACATCTCAGCCCAAGTTGCCGAGGGCATGGAATTCCTAGAATCGCACGGTTTTGTGCACCGTAATCTTGCCGCGAGAAATGTCTTAGTTGGCGATGGCTTGGTTGTCAAGATTGCCGACTTCGGGCTGTCTCGAGTGCTGGTCATTGAAGATATCTATGAAGCGCACGAAGGTATACGCTTTCCAATCAAGTGAACTGCACCCGAGGCGTGTCTGGAAAATAAGTTCTCAATAAAGTCCGATGTATGGTCCTTTGGTATTCTGCTGACTGAAATAACGACTTTTGGAAGAATTCCATATCCCGGTATGACCAATGCTGAGGTACGACAATCATCTTTTTCTATTAATACTTTTACCGAGTAATTTTGTTGAGTTTTACCCTCTAATTCGATACAGTTATAGATGGACTTGAACCAAGTCTACTCAATATTATGGGTAAGGTGTAAAAGAAATACCTGTGGTTCCAGTTCCCGACCAACCCTATTTTTTTCTGGCAACCCTATTATTTTTTCAACGCGATTGACCGTGCGACCCTATTTTCTCCAGGTGGTTGTGGGCTGCTCATACAGTGTGCCAAAATGGCGTCTGTTGTCACACTAATATTCAACCAAATTGCCTAAATTTGTTCATAAGAAATACGCATTTGTAGCTAATATTGATGTCGGGACTCTACTGCAAATCGCCCAGCAAAAAAACTGCCAAAACCATGAAAAAATATTTTTAAAAAAATGTATTTCCGACCTACCGACCCTAATTTTTTCACGATATGAAACCGGAACCACAGGTATTTTTTTACACCTAAAGGTTTACTTCGATCACCCCAAAATTGAGTAAATTTTCTCATAAATGTTTTGCAGTGTATCAGTACATTTAGCTTTCAACAATTTTTAGTGATACGAAAGGTTGCTGACACGAACTACAGAATGCCCAAACCCGCAAAAGTTCCGGAGAAACTCTACGCCATCATGTTAAAGTGTTGGTCAGCCGCAGCCGAAGAACGACCGACTTTCGAAACCCTCGCTTGGCAGTTAAAGGACTACTACCAGGACAATTAACAATACAGGGATGTCGACGAGGTCAAGAAACCAAGATAAGTTAATAATTCATTAGGACAAAGTCTTGATTGGTACATAATGTGGTACCATAATGTATTGTATTGTATTCCAGTAGTTACCTCACGAGTAACACACTAATATAGCGAGCAGAAGCATGCGGTACTACGAGCAATGCATTTGCATCTTCACAGTTTTAATATTTTAACACATACTAACAGTTTTAGATTTTCAAGCTATATATATATATATATATATATATATATATATATATATATATATATATATATATATATATATATATATATATATATATATATATATATGATCTTATAAATGCTAGCGTTCTAGGGTCATAAGCCGAGGGTATTGTATACAGGGTGCCTAAAAAAACGCTATGGAAATTCAACAGGCTGTTGTGCATCACAAACTTTGCTAAACAATTCAATTTGTACATAGGACGAAAGAGCTGTTATTTAGCTTTTCAATGATACCTTTCTTAAGCCGCAACGATGAAAAATGGCCACATACTCGTCAAATAAAAATTATTGGTCGAAATCACATTCTTCCACCGTTGGGATTGAAAATCATTAATTATGCAAAGTTAATCAATCCAAAAGCAACGCGAGCCTGCTGCAAGGTTTGAACCATGTTTAATGCAATAATGCAATGGACGTTCTTATTCTCTCACATTTTAGATAATTTAACATTCAATTTTAATTCCCTCTTGGGAATTGTCTATGTTTCGTTTTCCATGCAATTCCCAACGGTGGAAGAATGTGATTTCGACCGGCAATTTTTATTTGACGAGTATGTGGCCATTTCTCATCGTTACGAATTAAAAAGAGTATCATTGAAAAGCCAAATGACTGTTCTTTCGTCCTATGTAAAAATTGAATTGTTTAGCCTCGTTTATGAGGCACGACAGCCTGTCGAATTTCCATAGCGTTTTTTTAACAACTTGTTACAAGGTTGTTATAAGGAGGTTGTAACAATATTGCTATAATGTATTCTGACTGTATCGGTCGTGTTGGAACAACCTTGCAACAATTCTGATAATATCAAGTTACAAGTTGTTAACAACTTGTTGACGGCTTGTTGGCAGACTTGCTACAAGATTTTTAGGGCTGTAAATCCATTATCTCGATCACGAAAACGATGCTGTTATAGCCAAGGCTGAGTACGTTCCGGAACGGTATAATAGAGTTTGATTCTTTCTTGGGGCATTCTATTTGCTATTTGGATATCCTAAGTGACTATTAAGCCAGGATGGTAGTTGAGAGTTGCAACCATTTCGGTTATTTTCAAAACAGAAGAACAGTACAAATGTATGAACTCATTTATGTATGTTTCGAGCATTGTTACGAAGTACATGAATTTATGCCTTTGTAAGTTTTTATAAATCTCTGAATATTTTAAAAGAACAATTGGAATTTATTTATGAACATGAAATATTTCTTTTTAAAAAGCAAGTGCACAACAATGAATATCAACTATTTGAGCACTTAGTACAGTGCATATTCTTAATTCTGTACAAAGAGCACAATCCTGTTATTTTCCAAACATTTCAACCTGCAATCAGGTGGGCGTTTGGCGGGCGTTAAACGGGAAATTAAAACCGAAACTACCGTTTTTTTTGCGTATACTTTTTCGGTGCTAAACTAAGCGCTTAACCGCACTGCTCTAGTATGCACGTAGACTGTTTATCACGGCTCTCGTCTACTATTAACGTATACTGTTTATCACGTATGCACGTAGACTGTTTATCACGTCTCTTGTCTACTCTAAAAGACCAACCGTCTCTCGTTCTGGTTTGACAATAGAATAAGAACGTCAAGAAACTTCATATGCTACACCTCATTATCTACTGTATGTTTTTGTCTTGGCTTCTGCATGAAATGGTCGGTTCATCGTCACATGTGTACTGACTAAATAGCATTTTCGCTAGAGCAACCAATAGCTCCGTTTTCATTTAACCACTGTGTAATATCACGACTGGGTAATTAAACCAACACACTGCCAGGATCGCCGAGAGCTTGCCGGGAGCCCGGTGTCACAGGACATTTCCCGCCCCCCCGAAAATTTGGCCCCCTGGGCCAAATTTTCTAGGAAATATGGCCCCCTCTTCGGAAATTTGGCCCCCCTTAAAAAGTTATAGTTTGTTTTATCTTTAGGCTCGGGAATCGTAAGGCTTCTACTAAAACAAATTTCTAGCAATTTTTCTCAACATTTATAGTCAGTTTGCGTAATTTTTTGTGTCGAAATTCACCATTGAATTGCAATACTGACGAGAATTAGGCCAAGAGCTAAAGTTTAGCGTACTTTTCGCTTTTGGCTTGACCAGCTTTGTAGAAGACAACGTTAATAAATAATGGCTGTATCATTAAGCTATGGAAACGGAAAGTGATTGAATTGCAAGCCTTTGTGCTTTTGTGTGTGCCGAATGTTTTTGTGAGCGATGAAGCATACAGTCTACTTTCGTTTTTACGGAATACTTCCGTAATGCATCCCAACCATATGAGCGATTATATATACTGTGTATATGCAAGTAAAATGCATAGGAAAAGGGTTTTTTACGAATTAACCACTCATTTGATTTTGTTTTTCGAACAGAAGTTTCCACTTAAAAGTCTACTTTTTAAGTCTAATTGCTCCCTGTTATTTATTAGAGGCGTGCATATTAACATACTCGCCAACGCATGATGTCATCGTTTGTTAAAGTGGGGTTGTTATTCTGACTAATTTTATACTATGTGACTGAATTTATAGAGCTAAATAACTTGTAATATCTTAGAAATTCCTATCTCTAAAAATCGTTTCGTGTTCTTAGCAGCTACGCCATCATGCATTAACGTTGTCCTCTACAGATACCCATGCCACAGAATAAGAAGGTATAGCAGAAGCGTAACTCTAGTCGTTTCCCTTATTGTTTTACGTCCACGAAAATTTTAACTCGCTCACGCCAATCCACGTCATCCTGGCTAGTACAACCGGAAGTTTTTATCAGGTTTTGGTAGGTACAAAGTGCCGGTTGTACTAGCCAGGATGACGTGATTAAAATCGTCAAAACACAATTTAGAAATGTGGTCGCAAAAGTTGAACTGGTTCAAGAACAACTTCGAGGACAACTCAACAAGCAGGAAGAAAGCAATCGTCGGCTTGAAGCGGACAATGTAGAAATAAAGAGAAGTTTAAATGAAATTACGAAACAACTGAAGAGAATGACACAACAAACATCACATGAAGTCCAGGCTGAAGAAATGAAGAAAGATATTGCAGAAGGTGGAATGGACAGAGAGCCGAAGGTCCTTGTTGCTGGAGGCTGGGATGGGACAAAACATCTAAATTCAGTGGAAATGTTCAGTCACTCAAACGCGACCTGGACACCACTAAAGCCAATGAAAGAAAGTCGTACGAGAGCATATTCATTGGAGGTCATGATAAGAATGCAGCAATGAAGTCGATTGAAAAACTATCGTTGAATGCTGTTCATGCAGTTGACCAGTCCATAACTTGGGAAAACGTTCTTGTTAAGTTACCTGCACCATTGAAGGGACACTGCAGTGTAGTTTATAATGGACGGTTGATAGTGATTGGAGGTTATGATGGTGGTATATATTCTGATAGTATTATTGAGATTTCCCTTCTTCCACCTTATACCAATAAACTGTTGACTGCCATGCCACAGTCAAGATGTTATCATGGTATTGCAATGTTTGGTGACAAGATACTGATTCTTGCAGGTACGGTCTTAATCTTGGTTTATAGTACGAAGTTTGCAAGCGTTTTGTTGTATGATATTATTAAGAATGAATGTAAGGAGTTAGCAGCACTCCCCTACCCCGTGTCTGACATGGCCACAGTCAAGTGGGGTGATGACAGTGTGATCATAGTGGGTGGTGCTGGCAGTAACATTCAAGCATTAAACAAAGTTTTATTATACAACATCAAGACCCAGAAGAGTCGTATGTTACCAGACATGAAGTATAAGAGGAGAGGATGTGTGGCTGCAGTTGTCAGAGACACTGTGATTGTCATGGGAGGCCGAGATGAAAGAGGATAGTTCTTAAAGTCTGTAGAATGTTTTCGATTTGATTGCTATAGCTGGCAAGAACTTCCTGAAATGCGGGAAGTGAGATACTGTGCTACTCCAGTTGTATGTTAATTATGCATTGTATATATATTAGCAACCTAATTAAATTGTTGCAGCATTTTACACACTTTTGTACTTGGGATATGATCATAGTTTTATGAATAACATTTTGTACCATTTTGACCAAGTTTAAAGAAAAATTAATTTGTTGAAAGCGTTGAATTTATAGTTGAATAAAGTGGGGTGCATTAGGGCACATTGTGGCTTAATGGGTTAATATTAAACCACTAAGCTGCAATGTGCCAAAACGTACCCTATTTTATTATTTTACTCTTCAGATGACTTTACTCATTACTTGCGTGTTAATGGGTTCAAGACATAAGCACACAGTCTGGCCTATTACTGCCCAATATTTCAACAATATTTTCCCCTTGAAAAATAAACTTGTCTGGCGTTAGACAGAATATAGAACAAAGTAGGAACATTGAGGCGCATTGCAGCTTACATGTAGTGGGTTGTTTAATGGGTTAAGCCCATTTTCGACGAAGGCGAAATACTTCGCACGAAGCGACAAGTAAAAAAGTAGGAACTTTTTCGCGGCAAATTTTGTTGCTGACCAATTGGCAAAATTTTGTTTCGCTTCGCGCGAACAAATTCGCTTATTGTGGAAAACGGGCTTGAACACATATTAACATGCTGAAATTAATTACGTCTCCAGAAACCACGTGTTGCTTATTCCAACGATGATTGAGGAGTTGAATATTTTGATCTGCATATTTTAAATCTTGCAGTCTCAGCTCACTCTGCTACATGTTATCATTCAGCAATTTTACCTCGAAGTTTATCCCGACGTTTACGAACGCTTGATTTTGATGCAAAGTTGACACAATGAACTGCAAGGAGACTTTATGATGTAGCACGACAAGGTGACGGTCAAAACATCACAAACTCATTCAAATAAATAATTTTAAAGAAAACTTGTCGTGTTTTATCAATCTTATGAATACCCTTTATTTGCATGCGAAGTCGAATACGAAACTAACCTATTGCAACAATCACAAATGTTGTAGTTTCCGCTGTTAAAGTGGCACTGACCCCAAATAAGATTCTTGGTTTGTGTAATATTTGGATCATTCTGAGAAGAAATGGAATATGTCTTTATAACGAAAAACCTAACTTTGATCGACTTTTTCACTAGACCTGATATGACATCATTAGATGAATTACAAATTACTTTGCCTGTGTTTTTGCCTGCTGAAATATATCTAATGACACTATATCCGACAACTTTGACAGTGAAAAAGTTGATCAGGATGAGATTTTTTACTATTTACAATTTTTCGCCGAAAGCGAGGGGTGATTATCGGGGAATATTCGCCGAGACAAAGTCGAGGTGAATATTCCCCGATAATCACAGAGCCTGAGGCGAATAATTGTTTTAGTATTTTTGCACAAGTTTTTTGTGTTTTTCTGGTCTAAATTCATTTTAATTTCGCTTATTTCTTTATCATGCACTAACTTCAACAAAACGGCTAGCCGCGATTTTGAAAATTTCGATTTTGTTATATTCACCTGTACGTGAATATAACAGATTAATACGTCAAATTTGACCAATCACCTTGTAGGATTTGTTGTGTTCACTTGTGCAAAAATACTAAAAAGATATATTACATATTGCTTCGCTTATGAAAGTATTTTAAGTTCTGGAAACAGTAGCCTGTGTCGGTCAGAGTGTTAGTTCTATATTTTTGTTCATGTTTATGCAAACTTCTCAACGGTGAAGATCTATATAGCGAAGACAATCAATTTTTGGTGCAATGAAGCAACAATTCAATGATGCCATCTTGTTGAAATAAGTTGAATCACTCAAAAGTACTGTTGAAATATTAGTAAAGTCAGCTTTCCAGTTAACCGTTTTTCATGCGTGCGTACACAAACACGGAAAAGTTTAAATCCATATCTTATTCTATGTCCATATCAAAGTTTCTTACGAGATAGTACAACGGAATAAAAGCAAAGCATTTAATTTTGTGTATAATTTAAAGCGTATTTGTTAAGCTAATCAGCACTTCAGTTATAAAAAAATTACAAATATTTAAAAGATTCACGTTTCAAAAACGTTTAACTGGACAGAAGCCTTTATACGCAAAATTTCAAAATATTTGTGCATTATAGACGCTTTGAATGAGACTGCCGAGTTTCCAGATGACAATATGGTGTGTTTCAATATCATGTTTAGCAATGACTATAATGTTGATTAATGTTGGAAAATGTTGGACTGCATCAGGAGTGACTTTACTCAAAATATTTAAAACAACAACAGTTCTCAACCGTATCCCATATACATATCCTCATGAACTTTAGTAACAAGATTTGTGCAATTTCGTAATTTGAATGCAATTGAATATTCAGGAATTTATCGGGTGTATTCAACTCAAACTGAAACTGTTATTAAATACAGACAATTTATTTCAAAGGATTTTGACTGTGTTCTCAAACTACTGTTCATTCTTTTGATGAAATCAAACACAGTGTTTTAAACATTACAGCGATGTAAATAAACTACACGACAAAATGTAGTTTCTGAATGAAGTAAAGCCAAGGTAAGACGAAATGAAATATATTCAAGTGAGTTTACGTAAGCACATCGAAACACAGCGCAGTCTGAAGAGTCCAGAAAAGAAAAAATCAATAGGTATTTAGAAGGTTCGCGAGAGTCAGATGCCATCTTGAGGGCATTTTAATTTTTAATCACGAAAGTAATTCACAGATTAGACGTCTTTTATAAGCTTGCTTTAAACTCGTATTTGTTGATGCAGAACGGTTATACACAATGCTGTCTCGGTCAATAATATAGGAATTTTAAATAAAGGCGTTTCGTTTTCAGTTCAAAACGACATCTAACATCTTTTCTCTTATGTATATTTCTCAAGATATTGATTCAACAGTGATCTAAACTGAAAATGGCGTCATACGACACTGGTTGGGAAGATGAACTATTTCAACATCCCGTTGGCCACACGTTGCATTGTGGTATATGTCTGAATGTTTTGAAGGATCCAGTTTCGTGTCGACATAATGAGCATTTGTTCTGCCGAGCTTGTATCACCATACATCTCATGAACTTTCAAACATGTCCATCGTGTATGGAACCACTCACTGTCGAATCACTGCGCCAAGCACCTCGGACCGTAACCAACTTACTTTCCGAATTAAAGATCCACTGTCAATTCTTCGATCGTGGTTGCAGACAGTTTGTTGAATTAGGAGATCTCGAAAGGCATGTCACTGACTGTGGGTTTGCCCCAGCAGTCTGCTCTAACGAAGGATGCCAACTTGAGGTGAATAAACAAGATTTACTACACCATGAAACAGCTGTGTGTGAACTACGCAGAGTCAAGTGTCACAATTGCAACGAAATCAGACAAGAGATGGATACAGTGAAAGTTAATTTGGCAGCAATGAATGAAAAGTTGAAAGGAGTTGGGAAACAGTTGGACAGGAATGAGACGAGGGTTAAGGCAGTGGAGGAAAATGTTAAAACAACGGTGGGAAATGTGGTCGCAAAAGTTGAACTGGTTCAAGAGAAACTTCGAGGACAACTCAACAAACAGGAAGAAAGCAATCGTCGGCTTGAAGCAGACAATGTACAAATGAAAAGAAGTTTAAATGAAATTACGAAACAACTGGAAAGAATGACACAACAAACATCGCATGAAGTTCAGACTGAAGAAATGAAGAAAGATGTTGCAGAAGGTGGAATGGACAGAGAGCCGATGGTCCTTATTGCTGGAGGCCAGAATGGGAGAGGAAATCTAAATTCAGTGGAAATGTTTAGTCTGTTAAATGCGACCTGGACACCACTAAAGCCAATGAAAGAGCGTCTTGAGAAAGCATCTTCAGTTGTTCACAACAATCAATGTTTTGTCATGGGAGGTATGAATCAGAGTGGAATAGATATGAAGTCAATTGAAAAACTATCACTGAATGCTGTTCATGTTGATCAGTCCATCACTTGGGAAAACGTTCTTGCTGAGTTACCTGCACCATTGAAAGGACACTGCAGTGTAGTTTACAATGGATGGTTGATAGTGATTGGAGGTTTTGATTGTAGTAAACTTGCATATTCTGATAGTATTACTGAGATTTCCCTCGTCCCACCTTATACCAGTAAACTGTTGGCTACCATGCCACAGACAAGATATCTTCATGGTGTTGCAATGTTTGGAGACAAGATACTCATTCTGGGAGGTAAGCTCAATGGTTTTGCCAGAACAAATCTTGCAAGTGTTTTGCTGTATGATATCACTAAGAATGAATGTAAGCAGTTAGCAGCCCTCCCCTACCCCGTGTATGAAATGGCCACAGTCAAGTGGGGTGATGACAGTGTGATCATAGCGGGTGGTGCTGACAGTGGCGATCAACGATTAAACAAAGTTTTATTATACAACATCAAGACCCAGAAGAGTGGTATGTTGCCAGACATGAAGTATAAGAGGCAGGGATGTGTGGCTGCAGTTGTCAGAGACACTGTGATTGTCATGGGAGGCATGGGTGAGAGAAAAAAGTACTTAAAGTCTGTAGAATGTTTTCAATTTGATCGCTTTCGCTGGCAAGAACTTCCTGAAATGCGGGAAGCGAGATACTTGGCTACTGCAGTTGTATGTTAACAATGTATTGTATATATTAATTAGCAACCTAATTAAATTGTTGCAGTATTTTACACACTTTTGTACTTAGGATATGATCATAGTTTTAAGAATAAAATTTGTACCAATGTTGAAACCGTTGAATTTATGATTGAATAATGTACGGTGGTGCATTAGGGCACATTGTAGGTTAATGCATGGGTTAATGTTAAACCACTGAGCTGCAATGGGCCCAAATAGAGCCTACTTTATTATACATATCTAACCCCAGATGACCCTAGAGTGGTCTATTAATTCCAAATATTTCGACAATATTTTCCCTTTGAGAAGTAAAGTGGTCTGGCGTCAGACAGAATATATAACAAAGTAGGAACATTTTAGCTCACATGTAGTGGGTTGTTTAATCAAGTAGGTTAAGCCCATTTTCCACTAGGGCGAAAACTTCACGACTGATCCAACTTTTTCGCGGCAAATTTTGTTGCTGACCAATAACATTGGTGGAATTTTTTTTCGCTTCGCGTGAACAAATTCGCTTTATAGTGGAAAACGGGCTTGAACACATATTAACATGCTGAACTTAATTGCGTCTCCAGAAATGTGTTGCTTATATTCCAACAATGATTGAACAGTTGAATATTTTGATCTGCATATTTTAAATCTTGCAGTCTCACCTGACTCTGCTAGTCTGCTACATGTTATCATTCAACTGCAATTCTACCTCGACGTTTACGAACGCATCATTTTGATGCAAAGTTGACACAATGAACTGCAAGGAGACTTTATGATGTAGGACGACAAGGCGACAGTCAAAACATCACAAACTCATTCAAATAAATGATTTTAAAGAAAACTTGTCGTGTTTTATCAATCTTATGAATATGCTTCATTTTGATACAAAGTTGACACAATGAACTGCAAGGAGACTTTATGATGTAGCACGACAAGGCGACAGTCAAAACATCACAAACTCATTCAAATAAATGATTTTAAAGAAAACTTGTCGTGTTTTATCAATCTTATGAATATGCTTCATTTTGATACAAAGTTGACACAATGAACTGCAAGGAGACTTTATGATGTAGCACGACAAGGCGACAGTCAAAACATCACAAACTCATTCAAATAAATGATTTTAAAGAAAACTTGTCGTGTTTTATCAATCTTATGAATATGCTTCATTTTGATACAAAGTTGACACAATGAACTGCAAGGAGACTTTATGATGTAGCACGACAAGGCGACAGTCAAAACATCACAAACTCGTTGAAATAAATTATTTTAAAGAAAAGTTGTCGTGTTTTATCAATCTTATGAATACGCGTCATTTGCAGCAATCACAAATGTTGTATTTTCCACTGTTAAAGTGGCACTGACCCCAAATATGATTTTTGGTTTGTGTAATATTTGGATCATTCTGAGAAGAAATGGAATATATCTTTATAGTAAAAAACCTAATTTTGATCAACTTTTTCACTGTCAAAGTTGCCGGATATGAGGTCATTGGATGAATTACAAATTGCTTTGCCTTTATTTTCCCTGCTTAAATATATCAAACTACATTATAAACGTCAACTTTGACGGTGAAAAAGTTGATCAAGATGAGATTTTGTACTATGAAGATATATTACATTTCTTCTAAGAATCACACAAATCTTACTGATATCAAAATTCGTATTTGGGGTAGGCGCCACTTTAAGTATTGTTATAATAAGCAAGTCTTAATCCTCGACACTTACGTACGTTGTTCTCCATTCCATGATTCAAAGTTGTTCTTACGCTGTCCACAGAATGCTATGAATTAAAAACAACAGATAATTTTATAGTGTATTCAAAACTTGGATGTGAAAACATAACAATGTTCAAACCGTACTAATAAATTGCGCACCCAGGAAAGTATAATTTCCTCAGTTGTCTTAGCAATGAAAGTGATTGGCGGGTGGGGATTTAGGCGACTGTACATTTTGTTGCAACATTGCTTCGCTAATGAAAGTATTTTAAGTTCTGGAAACAGTAGTCTGTGTCGGTCAAAGTCTTAGTTCTATGTTTTTGTTCATATTTACGCAAACTTCTCCACGGTGAAGATATAGTGAAGACAATCAATTTTTGGCACAATGAAGCCACAATTCAATAATGCGATCTTGTTGAATAACTCAAAAGTAAAACTGTTGAAAATATAAAGTCAGCTCTCCAGTTAACCGTACAGAAGCACGGAAAAGTTTAAATCCATTTGAAAGTTTCTTATGAGATAGTAAAACGGAATAAAAACAAAGCATATTGTTTCGTGTATGATTTAAAGCGTATTTGTTGAGGTATAATCAGTACTTATATCAAATTTAAAAAGATTTAAAAGATTTACGTGTCAAAAACGCTTCACTGGACAACAGCCTTTACACGCAAAAGTTCAAAATATTTGTGCACAGTGAAGAAGCCTCAATATAAAATCGTGGCTCATTATAGACGCTTTGAATGAGATTGCTGAGTTTCCAGATGACTATATGGTATGTTTCAACATCATGTTCAGTAATGTTGACTAATGGTGGAAAATGTTGGACCTGCATCAGGTTTGATTTTATTCAAAATACTTGAAACAACAACAACTCTCAATTGTATGGGGTCGTGACATCAAGGCCGTTTTCCACTTCGCCCGTACCGTACCGAAACGTACTGGTGAGCATGGATAGGTTGAACATGGGTTGATAAATTCACGTACTTCTGGGTGTATTCGCATATCCAAATGAAAAGTTCGTCGCAAGTCAACTTTTTGGCGTACTACGGAAGTATTAACCAATCAACAATAACTAAATTTTGAAATTTTAAAATTTTTTGATGCGTTTCGGTACGGTACGCTTGGAGTGGAAAACGGCCTTTAGTCACAAGATTTGTGCAATGTCGTAATTTCAATGCAATTGAATATTCAGGAATTTATCGGGTGTATTCAACTCAAACTGAAACTATTATTAAATACAGACATTTTATCTCAAAGGATTTTGACTGCGCTCTCAAACTACTGTTCATTCTTTTGATCAAATCAAGCACAATGTTTTAAACATTATAACGATGTAAATAAACTACACGACAAAATGTAGTTCCTGAATGAAGTAAAGCCAAGGTAAGACGGAATTAAATATATTCAAGTGAGTTTACATAAGCATATCGAAACACAGCGCCGATTCAAAGTCGGCTGTAAACACAAGGAATTTCTGAAGAGATAAAAAAAGAAATAGTCAATAGATATTTAGAAGTTTCGCGAGCTTTAGATGCCATTTTAAGAGTATTTTAATTTTCAATCAAGAAAGTAATTTACAGATTAGACGTCTTTTATATGCTTGTATTTGTTGATGCAGAACGGCTATACACAGTGCTGTCTCGGTCAATAATATAACAATTTTAAATAATAGCGTTTCGTCTTCAATTCAAAACGACATCTCACATCTTTTTCTTATGTCTATTTCTCAAGATATTGATTCAACAATGATCTAAACTGAAAATGGCGTCATACGACACTGGTTGGGAAGATGAACTATTTCAACATCCCGTTGGCCACACGTTGCATTGTGGTATATGTCTGGATGTTTTGAAGGATCCAGTTTCGTGTCGACATAATGAGCATTTGTTCTGTCGAGCTTGTATCACCATACATCTCATGAACTTTCAAACATGTCCATCGTGCATGGAACCACTCACTGTCGAATCATTGCGCCAAGCACCTCGGACCGTAACGAACTTACTTTCCGAATTAAAGATCCGCTGTCAATTCTTCGATCGTGGTTGCGGAAAGTTTGTTGAATTAGGAGATCTTGAAAGGCATGTCACTGACTGTGGGTTTGCCCCAGCAGTCTGCTCTAACGAAGGATGCCAACTTGAGGTGAATAAACAAGATTTACTACACCATGAAACAGCTGTGTGTGAACTACGCAGAGTCAAGTGCCACAGTTGCAACGAAATCAGACAAGAGATGGATACAGTGAAAGTTAATTTGGCAACAATGAATGGAAAGTTGAAAGGAGTTGGAGAACAGTTGGCCGGAAATGAGAAACAGATGGACAGAAATCAGGAGAATGCCAAAACAGAGTTCAGAAATGTGGTCGCAAAAGTTGAACTGGTTCAAGAACAACTTCGAGGACAACTTAACAAGCAGGAAGAAAGCAATCGTCAGCTTAAAGCGGACAATATAGAAATGAAGAGAAGTTTAAATGAAATTATGAAACATCTGGAGAGAATGACACAACAAACATCGCATGAAGTTCAGGCTGAAGAAATGAAGAAAGATATTGCAGAAGGTGGAATGGACAGAGAGTCGAAGATCCTTATCACTGGAGGCTTTGATGGGAGAGAAAATCTAAATTCAGTGGAAATGTTCAGTCTTCTAAATGCGACATGGACACCACTAAAGCCAATGAAAGAAGGTCGTCAGGAAGCATCTTCAGTTGTTCACAACAATCAATTTTTTGTCATGGGAGGTCATGGTAACAGTGGAGAAATCAAGTCAATTGAAAAACTATCACTGAATGCTGTTCAAGTTGATCAGTCCATCACTTGGGAAAACGTTCTTGCTGAGTTACCTGTAGCAGTGTATGGACACTGCAGTGTAGTTTATAATGGACGGTTGATAGTGATTGGAGGTTATGATGTTAGTAAACTTTCACATTCTGATAGTATTACTGAGATTTCCCTCGTCCCACCTTATACCAGTAAACTGTTGGCTACCATGCCACAGGCAAGATATCAGCATGGTGTTGCAATGTTTGGTGACAAGATACTCATTCTGGGAGGTAGGGCCTTATGCTGGAACTATGGTACAAATCATGCAAGTGTTTTGTTGTATGATATTACTAAGAATAAATGTAAGGAGTTAGCAGCCCTCCCCTACCCCGTGTCTGACATGGCCACAGTTAAGTGGGGTGATGACAGTGTGATCATAGTGGGTGGTGCTGGCAGTAACATTCAAGCATTAAACAAAGTTTTATTATACAACATCAAGACCCAGAAGAGTCGTATGTTACCAGACATGAAGTATAAGA